CAATCTTAAATTCTTGTCTATTACTGGTATTAAAGGGATGAGCTCTGTTTCTCTTTTAGACTAATTCACTATCATGTAGTTCTGGGTGGCCTTGAACTCACATATATCTATCTGCCTGAGTCCTGGGATTAAATATGTGACCACTACTGACTGTCCTCTATGGCTTGGAGCTTTGCATTGTTAACTTCAGGCAAGCTTTATTAGATAATAAACAATTTATGACCACAGACTACCCCTATGAAAGGGTCACTTTGGTTTATAGCCTTGCCCACCTATAGCTTGCTCTCTTGGCTTTGTGTTTGCAGTTGAAGATGAGATATTTCAGCATTCTTCTCTGTCTCACTGCTGCCATGACATTATTGAATATCCCTCTGGAATCATAAGCTAATATAACAAAACTTTCTCTTGTAAATTGCATTGCTCTTGGTGTTTATAGCAATGGAAAAAGGTAACTAACACAGGTGTCTAGCTCAGATAATTCTTTTTTGTTATTGTTATTGTTTTGTTTTTTGAGACAGGGTTTCTCTGTATAATTTAGAGCCTGTCCTGGAACTCACTCTGTTTACCAGGCTGGCCTCAAACTCACAGAGACCCAGCTGCCTCTGCCTCCCAAGTTCTGGGATTAAAGGAGTGTGTCACCAACTATTCAGATAATTCTTATAGATAGAATAAGGAGGTTAAAAGTTAATGTGACTTATGTTTGAACAGTGGAATTCAACTTACCTGATCATTGAGCAGTATTGGTTATACAACATACTACATTATGGTTCTTGGTGTTCACTTTGTTTTTCAAAGTAGCACCACACTTTGACCCCCTCCTTTACCTTTTGAATTAATGTACATCCATCCCTTCTTCTAGAAAATTTACATCCTCTGAAACCAGCCCACTCTGTGACTACTTACAATCTCTCTAATGAGATGCCTTCTCCAGGAACACACTGATTGTGTTCTCCCTCACCCTCTTCTGATCCTATCATCAAAATAAACAATATTTCCCAGGAGATTGGGTTTATTTGAAAGCCTCTCATTCATATGCCTTCAATCCAAACAGGACATGTCCACTTCTGGTCATCCTTACCACACCAAGGGCAGCTAAACTTCACAGAATTAAGACCTGGATCCACCTGTCACAGACCAAACTGCCTTCTGATCTCAGAATAGATAAATACAACTGCCAGAGAACTGATCCTTTAAAGCTTAAGTTCTCCCACCTACCACCTTTCTTAAGGATGGTGCCCTTTCTCACCCTCCTATTGGGCCTCTCTTTGTTCTTCAGACCTCCCAGATAATTATAAGATTGATATACGACATCCAAACTAATACAACTCCTTGGTTCCACTCTCTGTGCATCCTCTGGCTGCAGCTCAGAGGTTTCTCTACCTTTTGATCTCTAAGCAGCCTGTTTCTGGAACTGTGGAAAACAATAGCCCAGCTTCAATGACATGACAGCCCCAAGTACCTTTGTCTTTTCTAAGATCAACAAACCCGGACCGGCACTGAGGATCCCTCCTGGGGTGAGTTCCCACACTGAAAATTACTCTCAATCAGGGTGAGGCATACAGTCTCAACAACTCTGCCAGTGAGATCCTGCCCAGTGTGATTACCTTCATCATCTAAGACATGGTTACTAAATGTTTGGAGAATTAAGGAAGAAAGTTCCTTGTATCACAATAAAGAAGTCTTCCCCTTTTTGTTCGGGGTTTATAAACATGTTGAAGAATAAACTTGGCACATTCAGTATTCACTGGATTGCCATACAGACTCTACTCTGTGTCTCCTCCCTTTCCTTAGTATCTTTGCCTGTCATTTCTCAATCCATACTCCCACTCTCAGGCACGAACACAGGGTAATACCCCACCAAAACAAATCATAATGGGCAAATTAATTAAATGAAGAAATTAATTAAAGCAAGCTTTTTTAAAATTCATGTACTCAGGCTGCCTCCCTTAAGGTGGAGTTTGACAGGTCAGCATTAGACATTAAGAAGACAAGGCTTTTATAGCTCAGGAGTAGGGGGTTCCCAAATGGGGAAATGAGTGGACTTAGAGGAGCAGAATGTAACAGGTGGTGAAAACAAGGTGATCACACCAGGTAGTCATAACAAGGTGGCCATAGGTGGTCCCATAAGTTTTGAAACAGAGGTAGTGTTGCAAGATGGTTGTAAACAACTTGATTTTGAAACAAAGATATAATTTTTAAAACAAAAGTTGGTTTTGAAGTGAAGATGTGATTGTCCTTTCTGGAACAAACAATGCACAACCATTTGTAGTTCAGGTTACAGGTGACTCGTAGCCCAATCCTTGAGAAACAGGATTAATCATGAAGAGGAATGAATATAGTTTGCCTTTACTAAGGATTTTAGTAATGATTTTAGGCCGTGAATGAAGGTAGGCTGGTTTTTCAAATGATCACTCCTTGTCTCTTCAGGTTCTTTCAGGAAAAATTAGCAAAATTACTGAACAGTCAGCAAACCCAATGCTTCTTAAGAAATTTCTGAGGCCTCCTATTGTACCACCTGGAGCTCTTGCTTTGTAGCCTGTAATACCCTAGCCTCAGTTAGTCCTTCAGATTCTGGGCAGCGAAAGGAAAAACCAGATATTACTGGCTTTTGCATGACTATCTATTTTCCCAGCCCCTTGACCAACATTCCTACCTTCCTTAGCCCTGAGGAAGAAGCCCCATTTTCAGCAGGAAGTACCTAAAGAAGATACTATGTCTGCCTTTATCACCAACAAAATGTTGGAATGTTTAGTCCCTCAAGAAATTCCTTTTCACAAGGTCATGAATTTAGACAAAAGCCATCATTCCCTCAGGAGCTAGAAGGAGCTAGAAGAAAGTTCCTACTTGCTAAAAAAAAAAAAAAAAAAAAAAAAAAAAAAGAAAAAAAAAAAGGATATACCCCAGCCTTTTTGTTGCTAAAAAATAAACTATAAGGAGTAACATAATTGTCTATGACTACTTCCCATGTTGAAAGTTGGGCATCTTTGGAGACCCAACAAGCTGGAGTGATGGCTGATTTCATGGTCTGCTCAACATCTGGGACTAGGAAATCTTTAATTGATTGGAAAAAAATTATATATATATATGGGACAGAAGATAACATTAAGGAGTTTAGGAGAATTTTTTTTTTTTTTTTTTTGGTGCTGGTAATTGAAGGAGGAGAGTACCAAGACCAGTGAAAGGTCAGGGAGATCCTATCCTCAAAAATAGGCATGTGGGGAAACAGGCTGTTGATTGACAGTACTTACCTGGAGTACTTTTTCCTGAGAGGTAGATCCAAGTCAATGCCCTGAAGCATAAACTAATGTGATTCCCTGAAGTTTACAAGAATTTTTTAACTTTACAAAGAAAGACAAATTGTAGATATGTTAGCATTCCCACTGATTGTAGAAAAGGCAGAAGATTCATGCCTTTGGGTAATAGTAGAAGGTTGTAAACCCAAAACTGATCCTGGGTTCAAAGCATTAACACTTTTTCCTATATCCAAGAGACTGTGTGTGTACTGATTAGATAGATGCTTCTAGGACAATGAGAAGCTATGTTGAATCTAAATGTAGAAGACATCCAAAGACAATTGAAAATCTTGAGCTTGTGATTATGATGAGTACTCAGTGTTTACTTGAGATAGATTAAACGCTTATCAGAACTCCATGGATTAAATTGTTAAGACTCCGAACTTTTGTAGTTTTAATACATCAGTAGCATAGAGGGGGGATGTTTGAAACTTAACACTCATTTTATTTATTATAATTACATTTATATTTATTAATGAATTTATTTTTCTATAACAGATACACTAATTCAATTAATTCTATTACTTTTTTGCACACTTGAAAAACTGTTGGAGTTATTTAAATCAGGTGGATAGCAAACACTACTAAATTTTCTTTATAATCTACAATTTAGAAAATCAAAGTGAGTATCTTTGAGCCATTGCCAAGACAATCATTTGTTTCATCATCCCATTCGTGCTTAATCAATTCCTTGGTGAGACTATTTAATTGTTCACTTATTTTCTCATGGGCATTTGGATACTAGTGTTTGGGCTCCTAGAAACTCATGTGGGATTAAGCAAAACGTCAAATATCCTGGTTTTCCAAGGAAGCACAGCCTTCCTAAGGAGGCATAGTTTCTTCAAAACACACTGAAGTACTGTCCAAAATGGATTTTGACAAGTGCTGCAATGGATTTGTATTTTCTGTTTAAGTGTTATACTTGCTTTCTGGTTGAAAATTAACTGTGGCTCATAACAGTGAAGGAGGAGGCGAGTGAAAGGAGAGGAATTTGTCTGGTAAGAGTTCTAATCACAGTCTTCAGATATTGACAATGGGGAGGATCATGGTGTTTCAGTTCTCACCGTCACTATCTAGAAAGGTGATGATTGATTTTCAACACAACTACAGCCATTTAAGTTTTAATACTTAGTGATTACAATCAAAAAGCCAGCAATACATTCTGTAGACTTAAAGTGTGATAATATTAAGGCAACACTTCATATTATGAGATCTTGAGGTGACATCTAAACATGAACACATTTATCATTGTAAGGTATTAGATTAAACAGAGCCATGAATGATGGAACACACCTTTAATCCTAGTACTTGGCAGGCTGACACAGGTGGTTCTCTGCTAGTTCAAATTGAGGCCAGCCTGGTCTTATAGTGACCTCCAGGACAACAAAATCTACATAGTGAGAGCCAGCCTCAAAATATCACTAAGAAACAAAGGGATAGAAAGGAACAGATTTAGATAGCATTTGAAGTGAAATTATTTTGTAAAAGAAATTGATTTCTTCTTAAATTAACTTATAAAGAAGCATGTAACAACCCTTCTGGAGAGATCACCACATTCAAAGAAAATCTGTGAGAAAAATGGTAGAATTTACCATGTAGAGCTCTGGATAACTAGATGCAGATTTATTGATCTCTTTCTGACATACTCCATTATTGTCTACCATTTTTACATATTTTTCTCTCAGTTTCTATTTTGTCTTGCTACAGAAACCAAAATTCCTACAAATAATGAGTCTGGAGAACAGCACTGTGAAGACTGAATTCTTTCTCCTGGGATTCAGTGACCATCCAGAGCTCCAGAGTCTTCTATTTGCTTTGTTTTTCTCCATCTACTCTGTTACTCTGATGGGGAATCTTGGGATGATCTTATTGATTGCCATCAGTGCTAACTTACACATCCCCATGTACTTTTTCCTCTGTATGCTGTCCTTCATAGATGCATGCTACTCTTCTGTCATTGCCCCCAAGCTACTTGTGGATCTGATTTCTGACAAGAAGAGCATTTCTTACAATGGCTGTGCTACACAGTTGTATTTTTTCTGCTCTCTTGTTGACTCAGAATCTTTCCTCTTGGCTGCCATGGCTTATGACAGGTATATTGCAATCTGTAACCCCTTACTTTATACTGTAATTATGTCCAAGAGAGTGTGTGGTCAGCTAGCAATTGGAGCATTCATGGGTGGGACTATTAGTTCAATAATCCATACCACTAATACTTTCCAGTTGTCATTCTGCTCTAAAGAAATTAACCATTTCTTTTGTGACATCTCTCCACTCTTCTCTCTGTCCTGCTCTGATACCTACACACATGACATCATTTTAGTAGTCTTTGCAAGTTTGGTCGAAGCTATCTGTCTTCTTGCTGTTCTTCTTTCCTATGTATGCATTATAGCAGCCATCCTTAAAACAGGTTCTGCAGAGGGAAGAAGGAAAGGGTTCTCTACTTGTGCTTCTCACCTGACAGTGGTCACTATTTATCACGGTACCCTAATTTTCATTTATTTGCGCCCTAGTACAGGACATTCAATGGACATTGACAAAATGACCTCTGTGTTCTATACATTGATCATACCCATGCTTAACCCCCTGATATATAGTCTCAGAAACAAAGATGTCAAAATTGCCTTTAGAAAAATTATTGGCAAAAAAATTATTTTCTTAGGTAAGTGAAAATAGACCTCACAATTTTGGCAATTTCTTTCAATTCTGACTTCTAACACTTGGAAAAATCAGTTTTTTTTTTTTAAACTCCACTACTGTATGCAAAATGAGGTCCTAATAGGAAATCCCAGAACCTAATGTTGGAACTACAATCTCCCTTTTCACTTTTCTATATCGCTTTATTTTTTTAAGGTTGCTATGTTTAGTATTTATTTCATGTAAGCTTGACTTTCCTCTAAATTTCATTTACATTTATGCTAAATTTTCTCTATAATTTTCAAGAGCTGCTAAATCTTCTTTTATTAGTTCTTTGAGAATACAGTATAGTGGGTTTGTATTAGATTTACTCCCTCCTTTAATTATTCCCTGATACCCCCTGCTTCACTATATGCTCAGCTTTGTGTGTTTCTTATTTTTCACTCATAACATTTGTGACCTTCTACTGGGGAATTATATTTGACACATCAAAGTCATTACTTTAGTATATAATAAAATAAATTTGGTTCATATGTTTGCTTCTTTCATTTTGATTCACAAGTAATATGTGCCCATTAAAGCTCACTTGTTCAAAAGAACATTTTAATTCCTCAAATATTAGCATGTACTTTTTTCTGAATACACTTTAAATTTCAAAAGATAACATATTTTAAATCTCAGTTGAATGATGGATATAATTTTGTTTCTGTTTTTGATGGTTTACCTTTTCTACCTTACTTTGTAATTTTATTGTGTTCTCTCTCACTTTCACAGTTATTCATTCCTATTCACCAGTGAATTCCATGATATTGATTATAGTGTCTTCCTTAGTGCAAAACTGAGAGGTTTTATTTTAAATGGAATAAATATTTGTTGGTTTAGTTTTTATAACTCTGATATTCAAAAATGTAAATTTTCATCTTGTAGTGTTTTGACTTAATTCCTTAAATTGAGCTTTCCTATACAAGTGTATTTTGTAAGATATTACTGAGTAGGTTGGCTCCTGAGAAAATACCATATAGGTTCTATGAAAAATTGTATATGTTGTGTAACTTCATTTAGATCTTTAATGTAATAGAGACCTGGCACACACAGGCTTTCAAAAATGAAGAAAGATTGGCACCTTAATATTGAATGCAGTAAATATTTCAGCTTAAGTAGCAAAAAGGAAATATTCTTTGAAGTGCCTGATAGATCATGATTCTTCATAAGTAATTGCAGCCTTCCTCTTAGACAAGGACTTTATAGGATACTGCAAAGTATGGTACTTTAGGCTTCTTTACTCAAGTGTGCTTTGAAATGTGGCATCTGCAACTTAGACGATAGTGTAGTTAAAGCAACTGGCCTAATGAGGTGTATCAGATGGCTTGCATGGATCACTACGTGGAATCCTATGCACAGTCTTACTGAAGACTGAAGGTAGCAAAAAGAAAATTATTCTATAGGTGGGTGTTGTAAAGATTTGCATGTAAGGCCTGAGGATAGAAGTCATGGGTTGATTGTGTCCAGTGAGGGGAATGGATTCTAAAGAGGATAGGGTTAGGGATTCACATCTGTATTTCCTAAGCCAATGATACAAATAATGCCATCTTTTCTTTATGCACTCATATATGGCTTAGTATGGTAGTAGATTATCTCTTGAATAATATCTCATATTATATACTTTAAAGTTTACATTAACTCCCTGTTTAAGAGTTAATATCCATATGAATCATGAGTGAAAAAATACTATGTAAAAAATTAGATACATACTTGACACCACATCTGCCTCAAAGAACAATTTCTTTTTTCTTGTTGAAATACAAATTAACAATACAAATGGTATAGTCCTGACAATATGGAAAGCCTATTGGTGTCTTCCTTCATGGAAGAATCTTTGTTTGCCTAAGGGTTCAGAGCTTATACTGAATCATCATGATTATCATCAGTCCTGTGCCAGATCTCAGATCTTATATATTAGACCTCCAGGGATAAAGCCTTATAATCATGTTTCAGCATCTGGAATTTCATGCTGGGAGGGTGACTGACAAACAAAACTTTTTTTTTTTCTAAATAAGTTGCTTGTTTTTGCTTCAGGTATATATCTCAGTGTTTTGACACCAGCTTAACAAGGCAAAGGTCATGGTTTTAATTCCCAACATACAAAAATTTATATGTCCATCTTGCTTAGTGGTGTCAGTTGTTATATTTAACTAGCAACAGTAAATTTTTTTCATAAAAGAGGTGAACATTTTAATGGCATTAAAAATCAAGCTGATACATGTCCATATATTTACAAAGGAAACTATGAAAAACATGGTCTTCCTAAAATGCATTTACCAAAAAATGGTTTTGGAAATGGGGCCAATAAAGAACAATTCCCATACTGTATAGGTCCAATATATGTTTGAAAAGCTATTTTTAGAAGTCTGCTTTGATTTTGCCTTACAGAAGCTTTTCTGTTTCAGGAGGTCTCATTTATTAATTGTCAATCTCAGTGTCTATGCTACTGGTGTTATGTTCAGGAAGTGGTCTTCTGTGCCAATTCATTCAAGGGTACCTCCCACTTTCTCTTCTAAGAGGTTCAGTGTGGCTGGATTTATGTTAAGGTCTTTGATCCATTTGGAGTTACGTTTTGTGCATGGTGATCTATCTGCAGTCTTCTACATGTCCTCATCCATTTATGCTACCACCATTTGTTGAAGATGCTTTCTTATTTTCATTGTATAGTTTTAGCATCTTTGTCAAAAATTAGGTGTTCATAGGTGTGTGGGTTAACATCAGGGTCTTCAATTCGGTCCCCTTGGGCTAAATGTCTATTTTTTGCCAATGCCAAGCTGTTTTCATTACTATAGCTCTATAGTAGAGCTTGAAGTCAGGGATGGTAATGCCTCCAGAAGTTCCTTTATTGTACAGAATTGTTTTGCATATTCTGGGTCTTTTGTTTATTCATATAATGTTGAGAGTTGTCCTTTCAAGGTCTGTGAAGAAAATTATCCAGTTATCATGAATATTAGCTTTACCTTGTCAGTCTTAATGTGTTATTTGCCACAAATCCTATATGTGAAGAATGTGTGCAAAAGAAAGGGTGTTCAAGGCACATAAAAATTCAGGTATCATGATATTCTAGGCAGTTTCATGTTTCTTCTGAAACCCTGCTAGGATTCTGGATATTATATATTTGCTGTTGTGGAGTTTTTCTTTACTCTCTAAAGTCTAGCATGCTTATAATGTAAAACTCTACGACTGTATGTGATTTTGTAACTGAATTACATGACAATTTTAATGCCATCTACTATATATTGGTATGATGGTTGTGACAGCAAAATAATCAATGCATTCATCTAGGAAATAATAAGACAATGTTAAATGTGATATAACAACCTATATTTTCTATCCATGTTAATCAAATAAAGCATGGTGCCCTAGAGCTTTGTTAAATGTCTGGTGTATGTGTAAATGGTTTGTCATCATCATGGGACATTTCTGATTTTTATTAAACTCTTCTTCCCTAATTTCCACACTGAATAGATTTCATACTTTGAAATTTATTTCTTTCTGTGTGTAGCTGTACATGCTGTGGTGTGCTGTTTAACTCGGAAGACATCTTTTTGGCCCTCATCTTCTACCATATGACTCCACTGTCCTAATTCAGGTCATCAGGTTTCAGATCAGTTACCTTTTCATACTCAGTCATCTTATCAACCTTGGATATTTATGAATCATTGTTTCACTAACATTATAAGCATAACTTCAATATTGATTTGTCAAGAAACTGAAGGAGATTAAACTTCAAGGTGAGATCCTACATCCTAAATAAGCAGTGTTAGTGTTTAAAAAATAAAATGTATATGGTTATTTTCAAGTTTTATATGCTAACAAATATTTC